AAAACGGTTAGTAAAACTACAGCCTATCTACCTAGTGTGCTGCCTAGGGCCTGGAGGGCCGCCGTGGGCCTCCAGGGCGCGTGCTGGATGGTACGTGGCCTGGGGGCCCCTCAGCAACCGTCGGGCCCCTCAAATGGGGCCTGTGTGCAGGCGCAGCATGCAACACCCCCCCCTCCTTATGAAGTCAAGCCGGTCGGGGTCAAAGCTGACGATCTGAAGGCGGTACTTGGGCGCGTGTGCGTCGTGGAGCCGAAGATGTCGGCTTGCCTTTCAACTTCTGTTCATAGCGTGCGAGAGCATCGGGCGTTGTTGCCTGAAGTTCCGCACGAGTCAGCCATCGGTCAGCTCTACGGGTGCAATATGCGAAGTGGACCAAAAATTCAGTCGGCCTGTTGCCGTAACGTCGCTGGGATATGATGTCGCCAACCTCTTGGAAACCGTCCATCGAGGGTGGGTCTTGCGATCGTCGCCCGGGAAAGCCGTCAAGTTCCGCTGGCGTGTAGAGAGCCAACTTGGAACAGTGAAAAACCGGGTTGACGGGCAAGTGGCCGGGCACCTGAATGATGAATGAAGGGCCTTCGGGTGCGTCTCCGGCGGCTGCCACGATCGGCCAGGGCCCCATCCATTTCGGAAGGAGCTTGCGAGAGATATCTTGTTCGAGGCTGAATTCCGCAGCGGAAACCCATACGAGGTCGCCGACGCGGAACGGACAAGGAAGACGCTGGCGGTTGGCCGGTTGGCGCATACGTTGCTGCGTCTTCGACATCTGGTCACGTGCCTTGACAAGAAGCTCTTGCATCCGACGAATGAAAAGAAGGTGGTCGTCGCTCTCGATCGTCCGTGGAATGATCGTGTCCAACGGAGAGTTGATCGGCGAGCCATGCTCGAATTCGAAAGGCGACATCCCGATAGCCGGATGGATGGACGAGTTGTATGCCAACTCGACATCCGACAGCCGCTCGACCCAATCCTTTTGGTCGGGACGGATGAGAGTTCGAAGAAGGACCTGTGCGGTCTGATGTGCCCTCTCCGTTAGGCCATCGGTTTGGGGGTGGCGAGCCGAACTTGGCTTGAGGGATGAGCCCCATCGCTTGATGAGCGCCAACCAGAAATCGGACATGAACCGAGTGCTGCGGTCGCAGACGATTTCCTTGGGGTATCCCTTGGTTCGAATCCAACCGGCGTAGAAAACCTCGGCCAACTCCGGTGCCTTGGCGTGATAGCGGCAAGGCAAGAACATGGCAAACTTGGTGAGGCGGTCAACCACCGTGAGAATCCCATCGACGCCCGTCTTGTGCTTGGGGAACGGCCCGGTGATATCCATGGCAATCGCTTCCCTTCGGCGCAAGGTGACCGGTAATGGTCGTAGTTCACCATACGGACGATGATTGAGAGGTTTGCAACGTCGGCAAACTTCGCATGACTCGCAATAGCGCGTGATGTCGTCGAGGAGACCGGGCCACCAAAAGCGCTCGCGTAGTCGGCCAATCGTGCGATTCACTCCAAAGTGTCCGGTGGTGGGGGCGTCGTGGAACTCGCCAAGAAGCCGGGTGCGCAAATGTGAATCTTGCGGCACACAAAGGAGATCCTTCCCCCGCGAGTGAAGAAACAAGTATCCCTCTTGGATCCGATAGTGCGAAGGCGCCGGATTGGGAGAGGAACAATTCGCGCACTTGTCGCGAAACTCGGGGTCGGCTTGATAGCTGCGGATGAAGCTGTCCCGCAAGTCGTCCTCGATCTCGAAGGTTGAGTAGACCGCGGTGCAGTGGTCCGGACGCCGCGAAAGGGCATCCGCAAAACGGTTCGCCGGAATGTGATCGGGAAAGAACTCGAATTGGTCGATGAAGGCCATCCAACGGGCGATGGTGCTGTTGACGGTGTCTTGAGACTTGTAGAAGACCAACGGATTGTTGTCCGTTACCCATCGGAACTGGCGTCGAGCGAGGAGGAAGTGCCGCCACCGCTTGAGTGCGTGGACGAAGGCGAGAAGTTCCTTCTTGCGTGCATCATCGATGGAGTGCACGGCCGGCACTTTCTTGCTGAAGTATTCGACCGGGTGCCAGTCCACGCCGTCATGTTGCTCGAGGACGGCACCAATGCCATAGCCGGATGCGTCCGTGGTGACGCGCGTTGGCAATAGTGGGTCATATATCCGCAATACCTCCGCGGAAAGCAATGCGGCCTTGAGGGCCAAGAATGATTCCCGCGCGTCTGTCCCGAAGTCAAACAATCGGTCCTCGCATTGAAGCTTGGTTAAGTGAGCCGCGATCTTCGAGTAGCCTTTGATGAAACGTTGGTAGTAGCCGGCGAGGCCAAGGAATGATCGGACATCCGTGACGTTTCGTGGCTCCGGCCAATCTTGGACGACTTGAATCTTGTTCGACAACCGACTGATGCCTTGTGGAGTGACGAAGTGGCCCAAGTATTCCAACTCTTGACGTACGAACTCGCACTTGTCGCGGTTGGCTTTGATCTTGGCACGCCGGAGTGTCTCCAACACTCGTCGAAGATGGTCAAGATGTTCCTCCAAGGTCCGGCTATAGACGAGAATGTCGTCCAAGTAGACCAGCACGAACCGGTCCAACATTGCTCGGAACTCGTTGGTCATCGCCGCTTGAAAAGTCGTCGGGGCGTTGGTGAGTCCAAAAGGCATTACAACCCACTCGAAGTGCCCGTACCGTGTCTTGAACGCGGTCTTGTAGCGATCTTGCGGCCGAATCAAGATCTGATGATATCCCGACTTCAAATCCAGCTTAGAAAAGAATTTTGCGCCGCCCAAGCGCTCCACAAGGTCGTCAATACGAGGAAGAGGTCCCGCGTTCTTGACGGTTTGCGCGTTGAGCTTGCGGTAATCGATGCATAGGCGAAGGTCCTTGTTCTTCCTCCGAACGAAGAGAACCAGCGCACCATAGGGTGAGCTGCTAGGCCGGATCCAGCCTTTGTCCAACAAGTCGTCGAGCTGCGCGCGGAGTACTGTAAGTTCCTCCTCACTCATGCGGTAAATGCAACCTTTTGGCGGCACGACACCGGCCTCGAGAATGATCTCGTGAGAGATTGGCCGATCCGGCACCATGCCGGTAGGTGACTCGAAGATGTCGGCGAATTCGTCGAGCAACCGCACCACCCGGGGGTCTGAAGACAAGTCCGTAGGTGGAGAGTCGGCTACCGCGATGGTTCGAAGAAAACATAAGCCGATCTCTTCGGTCCGCTCGTAAGCACAAGTGGCCTGAAAAGACTTGGCTGTTACAACTTGGCACCGGATCGAAGGGTGCGGAGGAGGAATGGTACATGGTACTTCGGCGGCGAACGCGTCGCGAACCGTAAGTGTCAAACGATGAAAGTTGACCGTGTGATCCGCACTTGCAAGCCAAGGCATGCCCAAGATGATGTCGAAGTCCGTGTCCAAGACGTCGAACGTCACCGGTTTGCATGCATGAGGTGCGAAGTAAACCGGGACGGCTTCGATGTAGCGATCAAGGAGTTGTTGCGTTCGACCGTCCGCCAACTTGATCGACGTAGGGTGTGCCTTCCTTCGAACTTGTGGTCCAAGGCCGGCCCTTTGCATGAAGGACTGGCTGATGAAGTTGCGAGTCGCGCCGCTATCCAGCAAAGCGCTGCAGGACGCTTGCCCGATTTGGATGCGGACATAAAGGAGCGGTGTGTTGTTGTCGTCGTACCGATGCGTGCAAAACTCGTGGGCCACCTTGCTCACATACGCAAGAATGTCCCCCACCGCGACCTCGTCCTCCGTAGGCGAAGTTGGTGGTGCATAAAAGGCTAGGTATGTATGTAAATGAGCGCGAAGAGCTGCGCATTGCGGCTCCGGTAAGCAGCCGGTGGAAGGGAGAGGAAGCCATGCAAAATCCTCGGGCGTCAACGGGTCCAAGTCCTCAATGTTGAACGCGCGCGCCGAATCCCGTGAGGTCCACTTGAAGACGAATCAATGTTGCTGCTTCCGATCGGAGAAGAGACCGCACATACATCCTGTCCTTGGGCTTGTGAATCCAGCGAAGGTACGAGCCGGGCAGCATAGTCCTCGAAAGAATGAAGAATTGGAGGACTTACGACGTCCGCATGTGCCCCGGAACCGAGGGAGGTTACCCGAACGGCAACCGGTTCCGTAGGCGTCGAGAGTGTCGTCGCAACACTCTCGGCGGAGCTCACTTTCCCGACTGAGCGGGGCCCTTGGCTTTCGTGGCGCAGTTCGCAGTCTCATGGGCCGCGCAATTGCACCACAAACAATAACGGTACTTGGTGCGGACGCGATACCCGCGCTCCGTCAGACCGTACGCTGTCCAAGGTCCTTGAGCTGGAGCTGCTTGCCCGGGCCCAGAAGAAGTATTGGTGTTGGCCTTCGGCTTGCCGCGTCCTCGTCCTTTGGCGGGGCGGCCACCATTCTGGGCAGCTGCGAGTCTGTCTCCCTCGTCAGACGAAGCAGCCTCGTTTGAAGTAGAAGGGTCGCTAGTCGTTGTCGCTGCGACCACGGCCACTTTCGGCCGATGCTGATGCGCGCCCTGGCCGGCATTTGACGAGTGGTCCGTATTCCGGGCTGCCAAGTTCGTCACAATGATCTGCGCGGCCTTGTTGAAGAGTTCCTCACTTGTGGTGAGGGTCTCGGCGACGTGAGTCAACACATTCTGCAACGCTGGGCACGACCGCTTGATGAAGTAAAGCTTGATGCCGTCAAAGTTCATCGGCAACTTGGGCGTGCTTGCCAGCCGTTGGAACTCAGAAATCCAGTCTCCGCTTGGCATGTTGTTCTGCGAAAACGTCAGCAGCTTGTCCATCGCCTGGTGCTCGGGCGGTTCTACTTGGAAACGCTTCTTCCATGCCGCCGTGAGCTCTGCCCAAGTGATGTAGTTGTGCAACTCGGTGACTGTACATGCATGTGCGGACAGCATATTGTCCAACCATGCCTGACATGCGCCTCCCGAGCGGGAGTACAAATATGCATGCCGATTTGCGTCGATGACGTGGTGGATGTCCAGCTTGAGTTCAAAATGGAGCCACCATTGGATGGGGTCGGTCTTCGATGCGTCACAAAAGATCGGGAGCCCATCGAACTTGACAATCGTTTCACGTGTCGTTGCGCTAGGGCCGGC